CTCACCCCCGGAAAGGAAGATTTTGTCAACATCAAGATTCATCCTGAGGTTCCTGATATTGATGATGATATGTTAATGAAGATGAATATTCTACATAATATCGTGAGTGATATTACACATATTGATATTGTCCCGATGGGGGAGAAGGATAAAATAGAGAGCGAGGCAATTGATGGTATGTGTGCATTGCTTGATAGAGAGCTTGAGATAAAGGAGATGAAAGAATTGCGTATGGAGTATAAGGAAGAAAATTATTTTTTGGAAGCAATAGTCATCAATAATTTCAATAATGGTGAGATGATACCGTCGACACTAGAATATGGGAAGCAACAAGAAAAATATTTGGAGGAGTTTTGTTAGACCCTAGAGGGGGGGGTGATTAGGGTCTTATGCTAATCTAATCCGATTAAATACCAATTAAAATTAATTAACAAGTTATCCTAGCAAGTATGAAATACAACAAAAATATAAGCTAGGATAAGCAATATGAACAATGAGATATATCCTATATGATGAAATATATATGCAAGGATATATATAAACTAACACAAGGGGAAACAATAAACTAAACAAGATAGTGGATGAAATAAATGAGCAATGCACAAATGGCGATATAAGATAAATGCAAAAGCAAATACGCCAAAGATAAACTCAAACAAACAATATGATCATGGAGTTCGGACCTTCCGTCCTACGTCTCCGCTCCCCTCTCCCGGGGAGAAATCCACTATCACAACCGAGTTTTTTACGCTCACCCGAATAACGTTTACACCTCACAATGTCGATTTTCAACGCTCACCGATCAACGTTCACTCCTCACACTCGGTTTTATAGTTCACCGAAAACTCCACAACATACTCGGTTTTCTAGCTCACCGAAAACCTTACACCACTCATAATGTAACAAATATAAATTTGTTCTCTACAATAGATGAGAACACAATTAAGCACAACTCAATGTTACAATCTCTCACAACCCTAATATACTATGTATGCAAATAGAATAAGCTCAAGTGGGTGTGTGTAACAATGAGATTTAATAAATCAAAACTAAACTCAATTAAAATCTAGCATATAAAAATTATAAACAAAATAATAAATAGCTAGAAATGAGTTTAGAGATTCTTCTCTGAATAATAAGATGGAGAGATGGAGATTGAAGCCCAAACAAGAAGATGATCTCCTCCACTTATGAAAACCAAAACAGCTTTAAACTAAACCCTTAAACAATCTTAAAACAAGCTTAAACTCTTTTTCAAAACTCTTTAAAACATTTCTTGTGTCTCTGTAAAAACTGAGGTAAGGGGGTATTTGTATGAAACCCCAAAGGTAAGAGAAAGCCAAGAAAAAAACCAAAAAAAACACTCTGCAACGGCTCTAAAAATAGCCATTGGAACTACGGCGGTTGAACGAGGAAAATCGCGGTCGACCGTGAACAAGGTCAGAAACGGAGGAGTTTTCCAGAGAGTTCGTCGGTCGACCACACTGTAGCGCGGTCGATCGCTGGTACTGTAGCACTGTGTATTTAGCTCTGTAAAATCAATTAAAAATAGTAAATCAACTCAAAAAATTATTAAATTTTGAGGGACGGTTCTAGACATATATAAGAACATGTTAGAGAAATAATTTCTGAAAAATCATTTCCCAGTTGAGAGAAATAAATGTTTAAACACAGAAATACAGTTTCTGAAAATCTGCTGACATACACGATTTTGTAAAATCAATTGGGCACAGTAAATAAACTCCAAAAATAGTAAAATTTTGAAGAAAGTTTCTAAACATATAGATAAACATGTCAAAGAAAGAATTTCTTGAATATCACTTCCCATTTATGAAAACTCATCTGTTTTGTAAAATATGCACGAACATGTGCACGAACAAAAACATGATTTTGTAAATTCCATTAAACATAACAAATCAATTCCAAACTTGATGAAACTTTGCAAAATATTTATAAACATGAAAAAAATATTTTACAAAATTAAATTTTTAATTTTCATTTCTCAATTGTGAAAACTCATTATTTTGTAAAAATATGCATGAATATGAATTTGTTAAGAACATGTTTTTGACAAAAAGAGTTTAAACGCATATTGAAACTTTATGAAATGTCTTCATAAACATTATAACACATGAATATAAAGTAAACATGGTCAATAAAACAATATCATAAAGTTTTCTCAAAATAGCTCATTTTGTGAGAAAATCTAATATTGTGTGTGTATATGATATTGAGCTTAGAGTATTAAACACACATAATATAAACCTATACTAAATATACCCAAGCTTGATGAAGGTCTTCAATGAGCATGACTTGGTAAACTTTGCGGAAGAAGCTTGTAATTGGATCTTTAACTTGAATTGACGTTGCTTCACTCCACAATTCCGCCAACCTCCATTTGATATGATCGTTAAGGCTCGATTCCATCCATCCTCCAACTACGTTGTTTGTCTATAATAAATAGGAAAACACAAATACTAGACAAACAACATTAGTGATAAATTGTTTGTTAAACATCATCAAAACAAGAAGGCCAACAAGTTTTTCATGTCGACTACAGAGCCACATGCTGCCAGTTACTACACATGTCATGGAAAAGATTCGTACACAAGTTTGATACAAAAAAAGTTCTAGCAGAGGAGGTAAAAGAACAAATTGAGAAAATCAATACTGAATACAAGTGGATGCTGATCGTTGCCAAAGAAGAAAATTATTTATAAATGAAGCTACTATTCTAACAAATATAAGCTCGGGGTCGAGCTTCTTTCAACAAGGGGAGACTGATGTAGGACGCTTGACGGACAATTTCATGGAGGATTCGGAGAATCACGTACTACACGTATTATTGACTTCCGCAAAGAAACAATCATATTTTTCAGTCCGAAAGGTGAATTATGACATTATATATGTAAATCAACTATCTCGACGAGACGGAGGCAACCAAATTGTAAGTTTTTTAAAATCTCATCAGTAATACCCAGTTTTGACTGAAATTCGAAAATAATCAACTTCTAGTTTATTTTTAGTAATAAAATTGGAGCCTATTTAGATTAGGAAATAAATTTAATATTAGAGTCCAATTAGATTAGGAAACAAATTCAATTTTGATTCATGATTTATTTCCTCTATTAGAGGGAGTCTTTTTAGGATATAATTTGATATTTAATATTTCTTTGTAATTCTAGTCTTACTAGGAGTCTTATTTGTTTTTCTATTTAAGAAGAGTCATCTAACCCCAAAGGAGAATAATAACTTTTGATCAATAAAATTTTTCTTTTTCGATATTTTCTTCGTGGATTCGAAGATTGTTCTTTGTAGATTCAGATAACGTCCTTGCTAGATTCCGGGGCTATCACTTCCGCGCTACGTCAACTAATGGAACTAAGCAATACATCCAATAAGAAGTTGAGTGCACTTTCTACTTGAGCACCGCACGCTACAGTGAGATCTGAGCCATAGATACTATTCTAACAAATATAAGCTCGGGGTCGAGCTTCTTTCAACAAGGGGAGACTGATGTAGGACGCTTGACGGACAATTTCATGGAGGATTCGGAGAATCACGTACTACACGTATTATTGACTTCCGCAAAGAAACAATCATATTTTTCAGTCCGAAAGGTGAATTATGACATTATATATGTAAATCAACTATCTCGACGAGACGGAGGCAACCAAATTGTAAGTTTTTTAAAATCTCATCAGTAATACCCAGTTTTGACTGAAATTCGAAAATAATCAACTTCTAGTTTATTTTTAGTAATAAAATTGGAGCCTATTTAGATTAGGAAATAAATTTAATATTAGAGTCCAATTAGATTAGGAAACAAATTCAATTTTGATTCATGATTTATTTCCTCTATTAGAGGGAGTCTTTTTAGGATATAATTTGATATTTAATATTTCTTTGTAATTCTAGTCTTACTAGGAGTCTTATTTGTTTTTCTATTTAAAAAGAGTCATGTAACCTCAAAGGAGAATAATAACTTTTGATCAATAAAATTTTTCTTTTTCGATATTTTCTTCGTGGATTCGAAGATTGTTCTTTGTAGATTCAGATAACGTCCTTGCTAGATTCCGGGGCTATCACTTCCGCGCTACGTCAACTAATGGAACTAAGCAATACATCCAATAAGAAGTTGAGTGCACTTTCTACTTGAGCACCGCACGCTACAGTGAGATCTGAGCCATAGACGATGGCAGTAAAATACCCAAACTACCTCTCCACATGTCGTCTCAACGTCTCGGAACACCTTGGTACGGGGCGTTCTAACAGGATGCACACTCTTAAAAGTTCAGGTAACCTATCAAGATTACGACATACCCAATCTCCCTTTTGGACGATGATACCATTTATGCGAGATCAACCAACCAGAATTTACCCCAAGACTCGGCTTTTTCAATCTGTTTTTTAAGGCCCATTAAACTTCCGGAGACATGTCTGATGCGCCAACACTGCAGCTCAGAAGAACTAGCGATGCGGACCAGAAGAACCAACAACATCGGATGGCCACAACCACCACCATTCTTTCATAGCCAGAAGTACGCTACGATGTGACCAGGACTTAGGGGCCGAGATCGAGAGGAGAGCAAAAAGACGCGCGCACGAAATAAACCCAGCTCCAAAAAAGATCAGCCTCTTAAGGACCCCACGTATACATGAGGCGCTGACGTTACGAAAAAAGGATTCCCTTGTGGATCCTCGCACGTTCACAGCCTACCCCGTCACATGGGCTACGGTGGCCCATTTCATTGATATCACGCGCCAAGTTTCCTAAAATACCCCAGCCTTACTTTCGAGGGGAGGAGGAGAGCGCTGGCGTTACTGATGCGAAGGATAGGGGCACGCAGGGGAGACGGTCCTTTTGGATCAATCTTGCGGAGGACAAAAACCCAATTAAAAAAAAACGACAGAACAGATCACCTACTGAATAGGGACATCATGACGGGGACAGTGGAAGAGGAGGAGGAGAAAAGGGCATTTACAACATTTTACCAGGTGCGAGTATAACACACAATGAATATGAGACTCCTGGATGCAAAATGGCACCCAAGCACTGTATCAACCACCCACTAACCTCTCGAGATCAAAACCTAGTTAAGGTTGTTCTTTTTTTCGTGAATTAGCAAAGGCTGCTGCCGCGGTTGTTCGGCTGACAGCTGTGAGCAATGGCGGCCGGCGAACGAGCAGGGCGGTGGAGGAGGCTGTGGCTGTCAAGATTCAGGCTTATTTTCGATCTCATCTGGTAAAAAATAATAATAATTAAACTTCTGTCCCGCCTTTTCAATTTATTCATTTACACCAGGATGGTTCTAAAAATATAGGCGAATGTTAGATAATATAAAAAATCTTCTGAAATTGAGCTAGGGGAAGAACTGTGCTATAAATGTTTCTGGATGTTTGTAACTGGGGTTTAGATACAAATCCAAATAAGATGGTGATTTGCGAACTGGTCATAAAATGGAAATAGCAAAAAAGGATTGAAGAACCATCCAATTTATCTACATACAATTGAAGAAAATAACAGGCCAGATATAAGATAGTAATGCAGCAGCAACTGAAGAAGCTTATGTATTTCAGTGCTGGGTATAATTAGCATGAGGATACTCATATTCAGCATTCCATCAACCTCTATCCTTTCTTAACTTGCAGCAATCTCTATATCAGAGTACAAATCTTATAAAGATAGTTTCAAAACAAAGAGAATGTAGATAAGCAAAAGGGATACTCTGAAGTTGAGGGGGGAAATTGTGCTTTAAACCTTTCTGGGTCTTCCATAACACCCTTTGCATGTGTATTTGAAAAGAAGTTAAAAAACAAAAACAAAAACAAATCCAAATAAGATCATGATTTGTGAATTGGTCATAAAATGAATAACAAAATAAATGGAAAGGATTTGAGCCCGTCTGTCTAAACATAAGAGAACAATCATTAGGAGATAATTCAGGGTTAACATGACAATAACATAAGTTCTATATAATCAGCATTAATATAAATCAAACTAAGATGCAATGGGGTTTTATTCTTCTGCAGGCGAGAAAAGCTCTTTGTGCGCTAAAAGGATTAGTGAAGCTGCAAGCATTGATAAGGGGAAACCTGGTAAGGAGGCAAGCCAATGAGACCCTCCTGCGAATGCAAGCTTTGGTAATGGCTCAGACGAGAATTCGAGCCCAAAGGTTACAAATGGCAGAGGAAGCGCAAACCATGTCACAACGGCCGCCAACTGGCAGAAGATCTCCACAACATTCGAGATTCCATCAATCATATGTAAGTTATCATCCTGCAATTACATCTTTTTTGCTGCAATTTTACAAAATTATGAAAAGAATAAGAATGGAAAGATAGGATTATGTTTGGTAATGAAGACGTAGAGCTGCAGAAGTAAGTACAACAACCAGATTTATATTTCTAGGAGTATAGTTAGCAGTATTTTATTAGAAAAGATAGAAGAAAAAAAGACTACAGCAAATTTTTCTGCCAATTTTGTTGCAAAAAAAGTTACAGATTGTCGGAAACAAACATAAAAGACAATGTCATTTCATCAAAAATTCTTTCAAATTCCCAGTCTTTTAGCTTTTACAACAATTGTTTTTCACTCACATACTTTGCAATGGAATAGACTTACCACAAAAAGGTTAGGGTATCTGAATATTCTAAAAAATGGATTTTTTTTATAGATTTGAAGTCAATTTTTGCAACAAATGCTACATGTATCATATGACATTGCAATATTTGCTACACTGTTCCTTTTTGCAGTGAACCAACCAGTGCCTGATATATTTTGCATTTGAGGTTCAGTATTTCCATTTCTCAACTGTATCCCTGTGTTTACATAACTGATCATGATGAGAAGGATACTTCATCCATGAAGAATTTACATGTGGGTTGCATCTGGTAATATACGTGCATCAATCCATTTAGGACAATTAGAAAACATGTTATTTGCAAGGAAAATGTACATATATTAAGAGAAGTATGTTAGCCCCCACCCCACCCCAATTTTATGAAATCTAATTGGCTAGTGGATAAATTTGTACTTGGATTTGCGCATATATTAAGATAAGTTATGTATAAAAGGAAGTACGTTAGCCCCCACCCCACCCCACAATTTTATGAAATCCATACTTAGATTTGTTCAAATATAAATATCATCCTATAGATACATTACGCAAAGAACGTACATATATAAAAAAGAAAAGAACATTTAGAAACATAGTACTGTGTATGAGTTTCAAGCAATTGCCATGCCAGACATCCTGTGTGACAAAGTACGACATTCATTTTCATATCTGAAAATCACAGAACTATAACAAGAGAGATTAGGATAGTCATTTCTCATGTTAGTACTCCACGGAGCTAACAATTTAGAGTTTTATCTGTAGAGACATAAAAAACGGATAAAGTCAGAACAATGAAAATACAAATTCATCAAACTCACAGTAAATTAACGATTTGGCATGCAGGAGATGGAGAATAATACAGAAGAGAACATCAAAATCGTCGAGATGGACATTGGGGAACCAAGGAGTAAATCAAATAGCAGGAACAGCTACTCCATTCCCCAATCTGAAAGAACGGATCACAGACACTCAATATACTATTACGGTTCAAGAACGCCGTCCAAAGCCGATCTCCGACAACACTATTCACCATCTCCATCAGCCTTAACTGACATAAGCCCAAAAGCTTGCAGTGGTCATTTCGAAGAATTCTCCTTTGCAACAGCACAAAACAGCCCCCAATACTTTTCAGCAACATCAATGCCTGATCCAGCCGAAGGTTCTATTGACTACCCATTCTATCCTAGTTACATGGCTAATACAGAGTCATCGAGAGCAAAGGCGAGGAGGTCTCAGAGTGCCCCGAGACAAAGACTTGATTCGTATGAGAGACAATCTAGCAGGAGGAGACCATCGGTTGAGGGAAGGAATATTCCTAGAGGTGTTAAGATGCAACGATCTTCTTCTCAAGTGGGTATGAGTCCAGCAAATGCATATCAATTCCCATGGCATCTCAAGTTTGATAAAACAAACATGTCTGCTAAAGATAGTGATTGTGGTTCAATAAGCACTGTGATGAGTAATACCAACTATTGCAGATCAGTAGCAGGATACGAGGTGAGAATCTCTCAATCTTTTTTTTATCCCTATTTTGTCCTAGTCATTTCTATATTTGATCACAATTTTCTTTTTCATGTTTCCAGGTTTATGGGAACAAGTACTGAACCAGACGTAATAACATCAGAAGTAGAAGAAATAAAGACATAGATAAAGCTTCTGGAGATTTAATACCTGCAATTGGATATGGGAAAAATTGCTGGTATCTAAGATTTGGGTGTCACTTAGTTCGTTGAAGTTTTCCTTGGGCTGGTTTGTTTCTGGTTATTCTTTTCAGATTCATGTGTTGATTGTTTTAAATTGTAACTTTTTTAACTTAAACAAATGGACTGCTTACAAACATTCTCCTGTAACTTCTAGAGTTTGTAACCCAAAAAATCAAAGCTCCTAATTTATTGGATTTGTGTACATTTACTTCCTCTTGTAAATGAGTTCACATAAGGAGCCAAACTACAGACATTTAACAGGTATTGTCTCTAGATTGGGTACTTCTTCCACCATAATATTGCTCCATAGTTTCATGTGAAAATTCTGCAAATGTGATCCCATATCCCGGTCATGAGGATTTAACTGAATTCTACAAATTCCAAATTTGGATGCTGTCAATGTTCTAATTGCAAGGCAAAGGAAGACACAGTTTTATCTGGATCCTCCAGAAAAACATCAATACTCAAACCATGCTCCTGCATTCTCATAATTAATAAAACTATTGTCCTTAATGGATATAAATATTGAATCAGGGCCGGTCCTGATATTCTTAATTTTTCACGGGGCCCTAATCAAGCTTTCAAATGGGGGCCTTTATATACAATATTCCATACACAAATTTTTATAAGATAGCATAATATTTTTTATTAAAATGAGATAATAAGCACATAATCATATTAATATTAAAATAAAAAAACTTCTTGATGCTTTATAAATAACACAATTCATACTACATTAAATGGGATCGCCTTGCATTTTGAGCTGCAAAATTATCAATTAAAATGTTCCAATCAAGCTTCTCCAATAAATTTTTTTCGATAGATATCATAGCCAATCCATTCAATCTCTCTTGTGACATTGTTGACCGTAGATAAGATTTGATGAGCTTCAACTTTGAAAAGCTTCTCTCGGCCGATGCAACTGTAACTGGTATTGTCAATAATACTCTATAAGCAATCCAAGCATTTGGAAAACAACAATTTAGCCTTTCCATAAAATTCAATACTTCAATTGCTTTTTTTGTTCCTCTTGGTAATGCTTCTCTTAAGATTTGGAGTTCTGAAAATAATTCTGTCCCATTAATATCAAAATTTTTGTCATGCTTTAGGAGATCTTCAAGGTTAAGACATGAACACTTCAAACTATCATTATCTGCAGACTTCAACCTCTCCAAATTAAACAAGAAACCAAAAGATTCATCATACTGTTGAAACTGTTCAAATCTACTCTTGAGTGAAGAAAGAGCTTGATCAACGATATATATGAAGTAATTGACTCTAAAGGATTCTTCAGCTGTCATTGCCATCTCTTTACTAGCATTTTCATCAAAATGTTTCTTTCTACGAATGATGCGACGTTCACAAAAAATGGGTTCAACTTTCATTCTAACTGCAATTTCTTTAGCCTCAACCATAGCTGCTTCAAATCCATTTTCTTTGTAGATTTCAAAAAAAGAAATGAGCCATCTTAAAAGGTCTATAGCAACATCAATCTGCATATCCTCTGATTGCATGATTTTACTTATTTTGTTAATAGCATTCAAAATATCAAACCAAATAACCATACCAAGTAAGAACTCAAAATTCTCAACTTTATATGTTGCTAAGCACTCAGGATCACTTTTTGTCTTGGGATCTTCACTAGAACTTGCTAAGTAAATCAAAGCATCTCTTATATCTGGAGCTTGGAATCTTATTGCTTTAACACTTTCAACTTGACCTTCCCAACGAGTTTGTGATGGTGGCTTAAGTGTGAAACCTTTAACATTTATCTGTAAGAACTTTCCACCGCTTTGTAGAAGATGCAAACAATGAATATATGCGCTGCACCACTCCAAAAAAAGATGAAGCTTGCGAACAAGAGTTTACCATATCACAAAGTGCAATGTTAAGACTATGATAACCACAAGGTGTGTAGAATGCTCTAGGATTTATCTCTAATAATCTTCTTTGTACACTTTTATGTTTTTCTTTCATATTAGAACCATTATCATACCCTTGTCCTCTTACATCACCAATATCAAGTTTAAGCTCTTGCAAAATATTTACAAGTTCTTCAAAAAGTCCTCGTCCTGATGTATCATCCACCTTTAAAAATCCTAAAAAGAACTCCTCATTCTTTATTGGGCTTGTTGAAATATTCACGCATCTTAATATAAGTGACATTTCCTCTTCATGGCTTGCATCCGGAGTACAATCAAGAATAACAGAAAAGTACTTTGCTTCTTTAATCTTTTGGATGATTAAACTTTTGATCTCATCTGCTATTCGAAGAATAAATTCATTTTGAATTTTGTGACTAAGATAATGATGATGACTTTCTTTCTCCTAATTCGACGAACATGCTCTTTCATTATTGGATCAAATTCGGCAATCATTTCTATTATAGTTAAAAAATTTCCATTATTTTCTTCATAAAGCTTCTCATTATCTTCACGAAATGCCAAACTATTTTTAGCAAGTGTTTTCACAACAGCAACTACTCTCAATAGTACTTTTCTCCAATGTTCTCGTTCTTTGTTGATTTGTTCTTCAACACTTTTATCGATTGTCGCATTTTGTCGTAATCTGATCTCTAATTCAATCCAACTCTTCATGTTAACAATGTGTTCACTACTTGTTTCATGACTTTTAAGTCTAGCACTGAGATTTCTCCAGTCTCTAACTCCATCATTTGCCAATTGAATTTTGTTTCCATCATTTTTGAACAACTTACAACAAAAACAAAAAACGTTGTCCAAAGAATTTGAATTGATTAGCCATTTTCTATCATGATGTTCACCATTGGATAAGTTACGAATGTAATATGTTGAGGAGAAATGTATGCCTTCTGAATCTTTTGGAAAATTAAGATTATCATTTCTTTTGGGACCTCTTTCAACCAGTAAGTCTCTCAATCTTTGATCAATATTTTTTCAATTTCCTGGGTCATTTATGTTTGAAAGCCTTCTTTCAAGGTTTTCTTCTTGTACCAAATCTTCATGTTCATTTACATTTTCTTCATGTTCATTTACATTGCTATTCTCATTCAAATTTCTATTCTCATTAGAATCTTCATGTTCTTCACCTTCTTCAATGGAATTTCTATTCTCATTCAAATTTTCATTAACCAAATCCTCGCTTTCTTGATTTTCAGGTTGCTCATTTTCAACATTCACCGAATCTTGAACTGAATTAGAATATATATTTCTACTACAAGTAATAAATTTTTCAAGTGCTCCCGCTTGAGATCGATTGAATACTTTAAGTTTCTGTTTCTTTATCCGCTTATCATGTCTAGACATATACTTTCGAGGAGGCATGATATCCAAATTTAATTCTGAATCTGCTACAATCTAATAAATATCGAGAAAAATAAATTAATCAAGGATTCCTACCAAAAAGCATGTTAGGGACTAAAATATATCAAATATTTAAATTGAAATTTGAAATTAAACAATAAAATCTAGTGAGAACTAATTCCAATTTCAATTTCAATTTAGGCTCTAATCAATTTCAATTTCAATTTCACAAAGCTCTAATTCCTAAACCCTAATTCCACAAAGCCCTACTTCCTAAACCCTAGTGAGAACTGAGAACTTACAGATAAATCAAAATTTCTACACCAATTCACGATCTTGTCAAAAGGAGCATAGAAGTGAAGAAGACAAGAAGTGAAACCCTAACCTTGGCTTGGTCAATGGAGGCGGGTCGGCGGCCGGCGGGCGAGAGCCGAGAGGGAGGAGGACAAGGCGACAAGGACGGGACACAGGCGGGAGGAAGATCCGAAGATTGGAAGAAGAGAGAGGTCAGAGAGAGGGTTTTTAATTTTCTTTTTTTTTAATATGTGAGAGCGGCCCTGGCTGGATACAGAGGACGGGTTGAAGAGTTGAAGATAAGGGAGGTTTTGATGTGTATTTATGCTATTAGACCCCTCTAATAATTTTGCACAAAAGCCCCCTTACTTCCTCATATATATAGGTATATATATATCTAAAAAAATGGGGGCCCTTGTTTTTTGGGGGCCCTAGGCGAAGGCTTCCCCTGCCTATGCCCAGGGCCGGCCCTGGTCTTCAACTGGATTTCCAAAGTTAATGAAACATGCCTGTCAAATATCAAAGCAAGACATTCATGACTTGATACATGTGGATACTTGATCTCTTTCTTGGTTTCTCTTTCTTAGTTTATTATATATATTATACTTGGTCAAATTTTTGGCTGTCGAGAATCATGAGCCTCTACTCACAGTCACAATGTACCCCAAACTAAGAACTTTATTGATTCAAACAGAAAATATTCTTAATTTAGTGTTATAAAGGACACACCAAATATCCAAACACAAACAATCATCATCATGTATATACCACATTATGGTGCCTAATCATGCATATCTTTAGGATCAAGTCTCATGATAACAAACCAAGCAAACAAAAGTCCAAGGCATAGCTGAGGCTAACATGCATAATGTCAGTGGATTCTATGTCATGCAATAATATGGCGTCGCATGACAGAAACCTATGATAAAACACTACGTGATAACATAGCAATACATGTAAATGTAAATATGGATATATCATGAATTCAAAAAGTGGTCATAAACGAGAAACTATAACCAAACGACTACTTTATCATCTACTTTATCTCATGATGGTAAGAGCAAGCTTAATTGAATAACTAATATCGTAATCCATGAAAGAAAATCAAAGAATCATGAAACACAAGCTCAAATAGATCAAATTTCCAAAATTGAAAGGAAATCAATGAATCATGAAAGGAAATCAAAGAATCACGAAATACAAGCTCAAATAAATCAAATTTTCAAAATAGATCAAATTTCCAAATTGAATAACTGATCGCTTGCACTCAGAGGTAGGACATGTACGCTCACCCCGATTTGATGACATTTAAGTTCTAATAGCAGACTCAAAAATTTAAAATATAAATTGTCTTTAAAACACCCACTTGAGCACGTGCACTCAAACACTATAAACTAAATTTCTCTTGAGATTTCACTAAGCGCGTTTACTAGATAGGTCTAGCGCATACACACATGCTGAAAACCACGAGTTTCAAAATATTTTGAATCTAATATTTCATTGATTTAAAACATAATAGAAAACCAACTTCAACACATTTTTCTACTGCCAAAAAGAATCTAATACATCAATTTTCACATTAAATGATCAAGTATTTCCAAATCACAGTTAGAGCTCGAAGGCTTACAAACCAAACCAAAAATGGAGGCAACACCTTATCCAAACTATT